GAAGTCAAGCAACGTTGAGCACGGTTAGTACTTGGATGGGTGACCGCTTGGGAACACCGTGTGATGTTGTCCTCTTTTTTTTATTTTTTGCTCCATGTTGGAGGAAAATTTATAAAGAAAACCAACGAGATACTATTAAGGATTGAAAAAAAATGTTTAATCCTTAATAGTATCTCGGTTTTTTTTAATAAATTTCTCTCTAACATAGAGCAAAAAATTGAAAAAAAAGAGAGGACAACATCACACGGTGTTCCCAAGCGGTCACCCATCCAAGTACTAACCGTGCTCAACGTTGCTTGACTTCAGTGATCGGACGAGAACTGGTAGTTTCCAACGTGATTTGGAAGTTGTCCGTTTATATTTTTTGTAAATAGTTTTGAGAAGTTAATTATAAATTTATAAGATATAAATGAATATGTAAATAAGTCACGCTAGCTTTCAATTGCTTTTATATTTAACTATTATAACAATTAAAACTGTCAAAGTACTCATAACATATTTATGATTTTTTTTAATTTATTCAAATAATAACAATGAATATTTTTTTAAAAAACTTTTTTCCGATTCTTTTTTCTTTAAACAATATATATAAATTTTTTAAAAAAGAATTTAAAAAATGGAAAAGTAAAATAATCAAAGTAATCATCTATATATAAATCTGATTGGAATATATTTCCGAAAATCAACTACTTCCGAGATTTTGATGAAACTTTATGAAAAGCTTCCCTCTCTCTCTCTCTCTCTCTCTCTCTCTCTCTCTCTCTCTTTCTTCGAGTTAAAATAAATTTTCTACGATTTCTACGATAAAACTATTTTTTAAATAAAATAAAATAAATAATATGTTGGAATGTATTTTCCGTAACTTTGAGAATGACTTGATCGGAGCGAAACGTATGTATTGTTCTTTGTAAATTATATTATATTATTTTCATGATTTAAATTAAAGTTCTTTGCTACATTACTGGCTCTTTACTCTTCTTTTACCTATATTGTTAAATAATGAGTATTTATATTAATGAGAAAATCATTATAATAATCTTAAAGTATATTATAAAGAGAAAAAGTCACTGAGTTCCCTTATAGTTTTTATTAAATAAATTAATTTTTTTACATTTATAATAGAATACAATAGAATATTTAATTTACAATAGAATTTTGGATAATTATTTATTACAGGGGATTGAGCGCCGATAACCTTAACTTGATATGACCTTGATAATATATGTCAAGGTCATTGGGACTGGGTTCCCTATAGTAAATAATTACCAATGTTTATTATTCATCTTACTATTTTATTTTAAAAAATGGTTTCTTCTTAGAAATCATCAAAAATCTTTTTAAGGGCTTTTATTTTAACCCAAAATGAAGCTTTTAACAAAGTTTCATTGAAATTGGACATAGTCGGTTTTCAGAACTTTATCCATTTGATTAATTAGAATTATATTTACATACTAGTATTCAATACTTCTGTTAGACAGGAGCCAATTAATCCATATTCGTCAAAGCTCGCAAAAAATTTATTATGAAAATACGGACTGGATGTTCTCACAGATAGTCGTATAATCTGTCGAATTATTTCCTCGATTTGCTGATCACTCGCAGGCTCATTGTTCAGAAAAAATGATATTTTTTTCTGCACAAATATAATGTCAAACGAAAAATTCGTGGTAATGTAAAATATTTTCTTATTCTAAGCCTGCCACTATTTTGATGTTACTGATACGGATAAAGTCAATGCCATTATTTTGATTTTATTCATACGGATAAGTGAGCAATGCCGACACTATCCACTATGCACACTTTGTCTATATGATATTATCCGAGATATATTACCACTAAGTAATAAGTATATTGCCCAAAATAGTATTGAATTAGTATTGAATACAAAGTTGATATATTATCCTTTCAATGTTACTGACAATAAAACCACATTAATGAGGGATATCAATTGTTTACTACATCAACTTTAACAATTCTTTATCAATTATTCAGACAGACACATCCGTTTTGTACAGATAAACTAAACAAACGACTTATTTTGCATTTATATTTATTTGTGAAATATTTAAATTGTAATTAAATTATAAGACTATGATAATAATTGAAATTTTATTTAATGCAGAGAATTATATTATATAAGATAAAAATATAATACGTCATTAATTTAAACAGAACATTGCCATAATAATGTTGAGAAAGAAAACAAGTCGATGAGTAATTCAAAGGAAAATACATTAATACATGCAGAAGTGAACTATTCACATAAGATATTAAATTATTATTTACCTGCAAAAAAAATCTTCGGGATGAAGGAATTGTATGATAAGATAATCATCAAATCGATCAAACACTTGTTCCTCTTTAAGAATCTTTAAGAGATTCTCTAATTGATTGACAACACCGTTAGCACTTGATGCCATCGTGAAGAATATATTGAAATTAAATAAACGGTCAATCTATATATCCTTTCGTAGAATCCCTTCCATTTCGACTGAATCATTTTAAATGCTGTGCGTGCGTGTATATGTGTGTGTGCGTGTATGCGTGCGTGCGTGCGTGCGGTTACACACGCCAAGGTCTTATCGTCGCGAATCTGCTTCGCGAGAGCGTTAGTGTTCGGTGCGTTTAGCATTGTATGGATATCCAAC